TCTCGCCTGGGCGCCTACCTCTGTCATCAATTCGGCAGGGAGGTCGGGCACTGCACGAACTTACGTGCATGACCGCTACCTTACCATTCAGGAAAATAATTGCAAGCTGGAAACCACTCCTAAGTTAACGGCGCCCCCAGATATGCTGCTTATCAAAACAATAACCGCCTACGAGGAAGCGCGCGACCGTGGACTGGGCCGCCGCCCGCGCGGCCTCAGGGCCGGCGCATCACATGGCGAGGCAGCGGCTTCATCGCAGTCGTCAGACAGTCGGGGGCGAACATACTGGACTCAATGGTCCGCTGGCCCCGAGGACACGATGGCGGCTGAGATTGCCGAGGGGGCTCCACAGGGCGCCGCCACGGTCGCGGCCTTGGCAATGAAGATGCGCATCGGGGGTGCTGCGACTTCCCAGGCAACGCTCTCGTCGATGTGGTCCGACGTCACGGACAAATCGTCGAAGCTCGCTGACTCGTCGGCTGCCGACTCACCCCAGTTCCACGGAGCGCTGGGTGCCGCGGAGAAACTTGCTGATATTGTTGACAAAAACTACAAGGAGCAGAGCGACGATATCAATGGGCTTGGAACGGCAGCGATACTGCTGTATCGGAGCAGACAATCCGATGTCAGCCTCCTCCAGCATGCCCACATACTCTGGGCGCTTCCAGGCGGGCGCGAGCTGCGGGCGCCCGCGGGCCGCGCGCATTTTTACGACCACTGACCTTGGAGGGCGCGCCCAGGTCCCTCAAGACGCTTGTCGCGCGCAAGGACGCGGATATCCCAGCTGCGATAGAGTCGCCCATCAAGGATGCCTTGGAGCAGTGCGACACTGATTCGGAGACTGCAATGTTGACTTCCCATGGCAACTGCATGTTGAACAAAGGCAACGCCTCATTGAAAGCTGGGGGCGCCGCGCCAGCCAGGCAAGGCAAAGCCGGCGGCGACTCGCGCGCCGCCCCCGCCGGAAGTGAGCAGTTCGACTGTCATTTGGTTTGTGCTAGCGGCTCGGACCATATCCAAAATGTCGAATAAGCTTCAGTTTGAGTTGCCGGGAAACAAATTGGCCCCGTATTTCATTTAATGGCGTTCAACTGACACGCAGCGGGCTCCAGGATGCGCGCGCGCCGACTGCGGCGCGCCGCACGGTCGCAGCCCGTCCGTCCACGCGACGTCGTTGCTGTCTCGCTTTACCAGAGAACACCACGTACCTTGGCATCCCGAGCCCTCTGCTGGACCCAGCACCTGACGCCGCTATGGGGCGCCTTCAGCGCGTGTGTGAGCCAACTTGTTGGTCTATACCAGAGTCGTTCATCTTCGGCCAGGCGGCGCAGGCGCTGGCCAAACGCGGTCAAAACATATATAAAATAATGGTGAATCGGGGGCCAGGCGGCGTCGACCCACCCCTCTTCACTTCGCACATGCACGCGATGCACGGCGACAAGAATCACAAGTTCGTTGATCCGAGCATTTTTCCTGGGCGAGGAAATGCGGAAGGCGGTGGAACTCTTGGTCGGCGGCCGCATCTTCACCGGCCAGGAACGCCCCTCGGGCCAGAGGGGTAGCACGCGCCAGGACATGCTCAGAGAGTTCGCCACGGGCGACACCATTGCGGGGAGACTGACGTGCTCCAACTTGACGAAGATGCACGGGATCAACGGGCGGAAGCGCACGGAGGCGAATCAATCCATCACATTCGAAAAACGTGAACGAGCAAAATATGGAGCCTATCGTGCGCCGCATCACTATCATCAAGATACAATCGCGCTTCTCCGATAAGCTCTACGTCAATGGAAACTGCACCTTTCCGAGCAAGCGCAGCATCTTCGCGCGCGACCCCGACGCCAAGGAGTTCATGATTAGCGGGCCCGCAGCTGCAGCTGGCCATAGATTCGGCACGCGTTCGAAGTGTTGAGCGGGCCCAGGAGGCGCAGAGACATCCTGGCGAACTACGCGAAGTGCGGCGGCGATCGCGGAGCAACCGAGAAATACGTCAAGATCGCTCGCCATATCAAGGCGGCCAGCGCGGCGGAATCGGCGGCGAGCGCTGTCGCTGAGGGCTTGGTCGACCCGCCGACGCAGGGCGGCCATTCGCCGAGTTCGCCGATCGTCCTTCTCGCCAACCATTTGGCGAAGGAGCTGCAGCGGAAAAGCTTGAACCATTTGACTTCCAGCGTTCCCCGATCGTCTGCGCGCCCCCCCGACGCGGCGCTGAATGGTAACAAAGCAGAACAGTGGCAGCGGTTGATCAGCAGCGACTTGCGGGTCGACGCCGGCTCAAAAAAAGGCAAGGCGGACAATCGTCTGATTCTGCAAATTAGAACTCAGAGGGAAGCCTCGGTTCCCCGCCCAGCGCGGCCGCCCCGCGAGGCGGTGCATCCAGAACACCGCGACGCGTCTGCGTCGGGGGCGGCGCGGCGCGCATCCAGATTGGACAACGAGAAGGCATCAGCAGGCGCGCTCGCCTGCATCGGCCAGCGAAGGACGTCCCCGTGAGGGTCGAGAGTTTGGATGGGAGAGCGCAGAAGACTTTGCCGATGGCAAAGACGTCGCAGCGGTTGCACCGGTTGCTTGGTCGAACCAGAACGTCGACTGACATCGCGGCCAAAAGAAGCAAGTCGGCTGGGAAGTCGAGCGCCGAGAAGTCTCCAAACCATTGCACTGGAAGCAAAGGAGCAGCCCCGTTTGACAGCGGCAAGAGCTACAGGCGCGCAATGGACTGACCGTCTCGGCAGCACGTCAACGAGAAGCTCTCGGCGCAGCCAATGGATCAACGATTGCAGCACGCGTTGTTTCCGAACACGTACGATTTGGACATAGTGAACTGCATGTACTGTTATTGGCGCAGATCAGTGGAGATCGTTAAAACTCCGCTGTTAGACTGCCGCGACACAGCGCGTTCGCGGGGATCGAGAGGGCGTCTGCAGGTTCGAGTCTGAAAGCCGCCCGCGTTTCTCCATTCGGTTTGAGATGGTTCCATGGGCCTGAACGATTCGGCGGAATAGGCCCAGGGGGTCGCTGGTCCGCGGGGGAGAGAGGTCCACGGGGCAGGCGCTCTTGAGAGTGAACGTATATCGGGCGAGCTTTCTTCTGAGCATTGACAGGGACGTTCTCGACATGCTGCCGCGCAAAGGCAAGCAAGTCTCGATCGAGCCGACGTGCGGCGGCGCTTTGCCGAAAGAGTTACGAGAGAACGAGTTCGCAAAGACACTGGCGAGGGCAGCGCGATTCCCGCGACGGCTGGCGGCTGCCAGATCCTCCTCATCCAAAGCCAAGCTGTCCGCTCTAAGCGACGCCCAATCTTGCTCTCTGCAGGAAGTGTCGAACGGGAAAAAAAAGCCACACGCGCAGCCACGAGCATGACCCGCTCCAGCATGTCAGCCACCAGAAGCGCCCTCTTGCGCCATCTTGAAAGTCTGCCAAGCCGACAAAGCGCGCGAAGCAGGAGACAATTCGCAGCGATGCTCGCTCTGAAAAGATGCGAACGGAACCTGACAGCACATGCCCACCATGAATGTGCGAGAACCTCTTCGAGTAGCACGGGTGCGACATATCGGCTGCCAAGGCCCGGTCACGTTCGTCTGGTGACTCAAATGGCACTACATGCTGGCGCGCACCCTTCCACGGCTCATGCACCCACTTGGCGTAGATCTCAGCGGTGCTATCCGTCACCTCGTGCACCGGCAGCTTGTTGACCGAGCGCCCGAGGTCCTCGAACGGGCGGTCGCCGCCACGCCCCCGCGCCTTGGCCCCACGCTTGCACAGCGGCGCAGAGGAAGCCGCTGGTCTTCAGGGGCCCCCGCCGAAGCCTCTCGCCCAGCCTCCACTCTCCCCCCCGCCATCAGCTGAGTCACCAGTGCTGAGGCCCACGTCGGCGATGCCCTGGAAGCGCCTGAAGCCTCGCCTTCACCACCCGGGGCAATCCCCGCGCCTGGGCCTTCCCCGCCCCGAGCGCGTCGGGGTCGGGCCCCAAGGGCGCCCCGCGCGAGGGGCCGTCCACCGCGCCCCGCTCGGAGCTGACCCAGCGGAACCTCGGTCGGATCCCGAGCAACAGCTGGATGACCCCGCTGGCCAGCGCCTGCTTCAAGAGAGTACGCGACGACGAGCGCCCCTTGCTCCGGCAGCCCATCGCCACGAGGCCGTCGGTGACCACCACCGCCGTCCGACGCCAGTTTTACCCGCGGCGCGCCAGCCGCCGAAGCGCCATCACCACCGCCCTGCACTCGAGCACTCTCTGATGCCCCTCGCGGCCCCAGGCCCCAGCGACGATCAGGTGCCAGCGGTCCACGCACGCGACCGAGTCGGGCACGTCCGTCGCCGACGCGAGCCCGCGCTGCCCCATCAGGAGGGGCCTCTCCGCCCGCGGCGCTGCCCCCGGCGCGGCGCAGAGCGGCGCTCTGGGCGCCACCAGCCTCGCGCACTCCTCGCACAGCTTGTCTGGGCAAGGGCGGGCAACCTCGGCCCCCCGCCAGCCCACCTTGTCCGCATGCTGCGGGAGCCTCTTGGGGACACCTCCCCTCAGGGACCGACGCGGGCAGCCCGTCTGCGAGCAGCAACTCGAGGGCCCGTGGCATCGCCGAACCAGCGCCTGCAGGCAAGGCACATAAGCGAAGATCCGCGTCGGCTTCCTCCACTCGGTCCCGCACATGCAAAAGTCCAGGCACACCAGGTGGCTGCCCTCGCGACGCACGATGTCAACCATGGGCAGGAACAGCCAGCACAGGGACGAGGCAGAGTTCTCCAGGCTGAAGGCAGTCCCCCGCATGATGCACTCGAGCACCACCTCCACCGCGATCGTCATCACGTGGGTCCCGTCGTCGACCAGCTCCTATTCTCCTCGCTGAGCCGCGAGACGCAACGCACCTCTCGGGCCGCCCGCAGCCGCGTCACTCGCGCCCGCGACCCGGCGGAACAGGGCGGAGCCAAGTGGGCGATCCAGCACGCGCCAATGGCCAAGTCCCGTAAGAGCCCCCCCCCAAGTCCCCCAAGTCGCAGCGAGGCACCTGGTCTACTTCCCAGGGCTCCACCAGGCTCAGACGGGCCCGCCCCATCGCTCCCGAGAGCTTCGCCCCCCCCGCGAACAGCTCGCAGAAGCCGGCGGCCTCTCGCCACCCTCGGCTCGTCTCCTGCTCCCTGGCCAGGTACTGGTAGACTGGCGTAGCCGCATCCATCTCGTCCTTCTCGACGCTCGAGTAGGCCTCGTGCAGGTAGGTGGACCAGCCCTGCTCGTCGGCACCCTCGCAGAGAGCTCGCATCTCCTCCACCCCCGACCAGTTTGCCGCGATGCCGAACCCTAAATGACTCGCATCCGCAATGAAGATCCAGTCGCGACACTCGGAGCCCAAACACGTGCCATAGCACGCCGACAGCGAGACCACGACGAAGAACTCGTCCAAAACCTCGCTCCAGAGGGGGGCTACCCGTTCGCCGCGATACTCCTGGATCCACCGGTACACGTGATTGGGAATGCTCATGGCCGCCCTCGCGCAGGTGAAGATCCATGCCCTGAGGTCCACACGCGACCCCACAGCGGCCGGCGCGGCCTTCTCCTGGTTCAGCAGCGGCTCCGTCGCAAGCACCGCCAAGCGCACCTTCTCCTGCACCACCTGCACCAACTTCGCGCTGGCATCCAGCGAGACCCCCAAGGAGCGCTCCAGCCCGCGCCCCGCACTCTCCCTGTGAGCGGCCAATCCCACGGCCTCCAGCGCCTGCTTCGCCCTGGCGCCGCCCCGCTTCACCTGCAGCCCCGCCGCCTCAAGCTCCTTCGACTCACGGCGGATGCCGGCGCAGTCGCCTATGTAGATCCAGTGGAGCAGCGATTCCCGATGGAGCTGCGGAGGCGGCGACCTACGCTGGATTCGACCTGCCGCTGGAAGAGCGCCACCGCTTTCCACGACGCCCTGAAGCGTCGAGCGCGCGAAGAAGACGGCCCAGGCGAAGCCCATGGGCAGCATCCGCAAGCACGCGCATGCCCGGCCCCCTAGGCGCTCGACCAGGTCCTGCCTTCCTGACTTCCTCAAGTGGAAACGCAGCTCCTCCCCCTTCGCGCCGTCGAAGCCAAAGTACGACCACGGCGCCTCCGGCAAGAGCAGCTTGCAGAAAAAGTCCGGCACGTCCCCGGCGAAGCTCGCCACCTCCAAGTCGCCGCGCACGCTCGAGCCGAGGTCGACCCCGCACAGCGCTGCGGTGGAGCCCACGGCGAGCCACGGCAGACTCCTGAGCCCCACGTTGGACCTCCTCATGTCCCAGATCAGCCATGAACTGCGCCCCCCCACCACCTCGTCGCACGCCCCGAGCATGCCCGACTCCGCCAGCCCCACGTGCAGATCGAGCTTCGCCTCCTTCTGCCAAAGCCCTGCATCGCTGCGCGGCTTCACCACGTCGCGCGCCGCCCAGTCCACCTCGCGATCGCGAAGGGCCATGGTCCCCCGCGGGTCTCGCAAACACGGACGGCTCGAAGGTGGCGCAGCCTCGATCGCGATGAGCTCCGACCCAGCAAAGGGCAACGACACCTCGCTGACCTCCAGAGGGCACACGTCGCCGACTCGTGGCCCGAGGGCCATCCGACGGCTCGCGATGCCAGCCGCCTGGGCACTGGCGCTCCGTCGGCGAGACTTCCCCGCGGTGCTCGGGCCCGCCAGCGACTCCAGAGGTCCCGAACCACGTCCCTCTGCGCGGCCGGGCCCCTCTCCACGCTGACCGAGCTCCTCTCGGCGACTCGCTCCGCACCCCGTCCAGCGCACCGCGGTACATTCACGAGATAGCATTCACGGATCGATTGACAAGCTCCGGGGTCAGTCGATCCAACGCAGCGGGCCCCGCCCCCTTGAGGCCCCCCCAATACAGAAAGGCGCCCTGGGCACTCTGCGCAGGAGGTCTCGGGCACGAGCCTCCGCACCAGCAAGCCTCCGCGATGACCCCAGGGGCATCTCGAAGCATGCACTCCCGACAGCAAGGGCCAAATACTTCGGCTGGCCGAAAAAGTTGGCGACGTACACAGCCACGTCCGAAGGTCCAGAACCATCCCGCGAAGCACTCGATCACGCGCGCGACCTGCACCAAGTACCAGAAGAGCACAAGACGAAAGCGACGACAGCTCGCACTTGCCAGCACCACCCCCCGCCGCTGGAGAGGCAGGCCACCCCCCCTCGGAGCTGCCCTTGCCGCCCTCGGGGTAAGCCTTGTCACAATACTTATGAAACAAGGCCTTCCGTTCCAAGCATTTGCGCACCTCCTTGTCAGCGTCAGCGATGGCCCAGTCGTCGCTCTCGAGGACCACCGCGTCGTTCTCGTCCGCCACCTCCTACCAGACCTTGTTATTCCACCGCCCCCCGTTCTCCCCGCACGGCTGCTTCCAATCGCCCCGCTTCCCGGCGTTCCCGGACGCGCGGAAGAGACCGTAGAGTCGGCGGCGAATGACCTCCACAGCCTGACTGTTCACATGTCCTGCTCAGAACTCAGCGTCCTGCCCAGGACGGCGGCCATGAGAACCATCACGCAAGCCGCCCGGCACGTCTCCAACTCTTTCGACCTCGCGCATTGCTGCACCTCGAACTTCGCCGACGCCCCGCGCATGCACCGCGCCTGAGAGGGTCCAATGCTCCAGTCCGCGTTCTCGCATTGCTTCAGCTGGTTCAGCATGGCCGCCCTCGGGCCCTTGGCCTCCTGCCCCAGCTCCTGGATGCAGTGCTCGACCGTCTTCCCGCTCATCCCAGCGACGGCAAGGTCCTTCACGGCACGACCTCCCGAGCTGATGGAAGGCCGCCGAGCCCCACGCGCGGCACCTCCCGCTCCGCCCTGGCCCTCCGAGACCTGCCGCTCATGGGCCACCAGCCGCTGTATCAGGTTGTCGATCCCCCGGCGCGCTGACTCGCCCTCCTGAACCGCATCCAGCCCTCGTACGTCGTCGCCAGCCGGAGTGCCCTTGTCCTTCTCGGCGGCCAGCTTGCTGACCTGGCTCTGCAACGCAGCCTGCTGCTCGAGGAGGAGCCTCATCCCAAGACGTCTCATGAGCCCGTCGTCGTCGTCCGTGTCCAAGGCGGCCGTGCCCTTGTCGATCGAGATGTCGCTGTCCGAGCCCGTCAGGAAGCCGTCAGCCGTCATCCTCTTCCGTTTCATCTCGCAGCCGCCCAACGAGTAGATCAGCATCACCACGAGCGGAGCTGCCAGCGCCGCGAGAAACGGGCCCTCGAAGCCCCCGTCCTCCCAGCGCTCCACCACGTGGTCGCACGCGTCCGTGATCCGAGCGGCCGTCTCGCTCGCAGACTTCAGGACATGCACGCCTTCATCGACAATCTCACCGACGCCAAAAAACTTCCAGGTCTTGCAAGCCAGCAAAAACCCGAAGCCCGCCGCCCCGACGAACTTGTAGCTGCACACCGCGCCGCCCAGGGTGAACATGCTCTGTAACAGCCACCAAACGAGGTTTGACTGCTGCGAGTTACCCCCCTTGCCAACCTTATTGCCCAGTTTCTTGTCCTTGCCGCCAGCAGGGACTGAGAACCAGGAGCCGCCAGCAGTCCTCCGAATCAGGTTCACCGAGTCGGCCTCCGCTTTCACCTTCCCCCCACGAGTCAGCCCGTCAAACGGTCCCAGCTGCCACTTCTACTTGGGTTTCGAGAAGATGCGGCCCATGCGCAGATCCTGGACCTGCACCCGCTTCAGCCCGTCAACTACCGTCCAGGTCCCGACCTTCCCCAGCACCTGGTTCACCAGCATCAAGACCACGGCCGACTCATTACCCGTCTGGAGGCAGGCCCGATTTCCACTTCTTCCAGACCATCGCGCCCGACTCGATGTCCGCACCCCTGACGAGCTCCTCGCCGAGGTGACCCTCGTCGCTCCCGGGCAGATCGTCAGGAAGGAAGTCCAGTCCCTCCCCTGACCAGTTCACCTCCGCGGCATCGCTCTCGGCGGCGCCCCCGTCCGCCCAGGGAGGCCTCCCGCTGAACACGAGGTGGAAGAGCGAGGCCGGCAGGCACCACCTGTTCGTCGCGGGGCGCCTCCCATCTTCCTCGCCCGCGGGCAGAGGATGCTCAAGGAGAGAAGAAGCGTCCTCCTGCTGAGCCTGAGCAACAACGACTATGGAACGGACGGCCGGGAGCGCGAGGACACAGGGGAGACAAAAACAGTTCACAAACATATAGATATATAGCTATATATATATATATATATATATATGCTCGGTCCCCCCCCAGCGACCCCCCAAAACGCCCAAAACACGAAGCCGCGGTCTTGAGATGCTGGCACCGAACAGCCGCAGACACATGGTCTGTCACAGCGGGCTGTGACCCGAGAAGTATTCCTCCTCATCTTACTCTCCATCATCCTCCCCCTCCTCTTCCATGGACATCGCCAAAGGAGAAGACCCCAACACAGACGCTGCGACTGACAAGCCTGTCATCTGGGAGCAATGGGGCGGCATGGTTCAACGCGGCGACCAGAAATCCCTCGTCTTGTTCAAGCTGGACCCAGCGAAGACAAAGAGGCGGGCGCCAGGCCCAGGCCCGATCCGCAAGCGCGATTGGAAGCCTCTGGCCTACAAGTGGGTCCACAAGCGCAACATCATACTGCACACGGACGGGGCCAGGAGTTATAAGCTGAAGCTCGAAGGGGTCAAGCATGATTGGGTTGTCCACGCCAAGAAGCGCGTCATGGTCAAAGGTAAGTGGGTGTGGATCAAGCCTAAGTTCACCAAGATCACCCACCACGATGTTCCAGATGACAGCAAGCCCAACAAGACCAATCGCGTTTGGGTTAAAGCTGGCACCCAGATCATCGACCGCATCTGGGGCGAGCTGCGGAAACACTTAGGGGATAAGAAGACAGTGAACACCAAGGCGCTGACCAACAAGATCCGCTCCTACCAGTGGTTGTACTGGCACAGGGGCGAGGATTTGTGGCTGGCAACAGGGAAGATGCTGGAGGAGGCCTTCCTCAAGGAGCACTGCCAGTGAGCGGCGAGCGCTGTAGTCCCCGAAGAGTACACAGTGTTTTCTTGCTCGGAGGCCACGAAACACTGTGTATCACAGGTTTTTCTGGTTTTTCTGGTGTGGGAACCAACGAAACATTGTATATCACAGGTTTTTCTGGTTTTTCTGGTTTTCAGGCGCCGACAAACAGGAGGTGGGGGAGCGGTGGGGCGAGGCCGCGGCGAGCATTTCAGCTCCAGAAACCAGAAAAACCAGAAAAACCTGTGATACGCAGTGTTTCGTTGGTTCCCAGACCAGAAAAACCAGAAAAACCTGTGATACACAGTGTTTCGTGGCCTCGGCCGAAACCGATATGCTTGCGCGCACGGTGCCCGTGACGGATGGGCCGAGCGGATGAGTTCGTCAGCCTGGATGGCAGGCCAAAGTTGAGTTGTGTATTCGTGTTTTGGGCGCTCTGGGGGGTCGCTGGGGGGGGGATCGACCATATATATATATATATATATATATATAATGTTCATGGCGTTTTCTCTTCTTCGAGACATCGGGACACGGACATGCTGCAAGCTGGTAACAGACGGCGCTGGCCTTCTTCTCCGCGGACCAGCCCGTCCTCCAGGCGCCCAGCCCCGCCTGGCAGTCGACGTCGTCCTCACGGAGGGGGGGGGGGGCAGCAGCTGGGGGGTCCCAAACAGACGGTGCGGCGACAGACCGTGCGGTGACCTCGGAACTCCCGACAACCTCACCGCACGGCTCGGTGGCAACTCGTGGGAGCCTCCCGTACGTACCATCTTGTCGGCTCTTGCGAATCGACGCCAATCGACGCTGAATCGACGCTAGTCGACGCTAAATCGACGCTGATCGACGATAAATCGACGTTGAATCGGCACATCTCATCGACTCCCAGACACTCATCGACGCTAACCGACGCTAAAGACGGAATAAAGAGGGTATACCAGGCTCCCATGATTTGCTACCGAGCGCACGGTCCGTCATCGCACGATTTTGGGACCCTGGAAGCCCCAGTCGCACGAGACATCCTCGGAGAGCGACCCGAGTCCCAAAACCGTGCGGTCACCCCGAATGCCAAGTGGCTCACCACACGGTGTGGTCACCGCACCGTTTGGAGGCCCCCGAAACAAGGTGCCGAAGCCGCTACTCCACAGACCCCTCCCGGTGTGAGCTCCGACGAAGGGCTCGAGGATAAGCAAGCCGTGGCGAAGAGGGATCTTCAGAACGAGCAGCAGTATCGGCACGTTTTCCTCCCCTGACTCCTGGCCCTCTCTGCCGGCGCGCGCGGTGGCGACAGCGCAGCCGATGCCCTCACGGACGGTGCTCCAAGGACTTCCAGCCCGACACCAACATATCCCGATCCCTGGGGTTGGCATCACCTTACCTCGGTGCCGATCCTAAGGATTGCCCGAACTTTTCGGTGCGCATCGCTGAGGCTGTCGTCGCACTGGGTTTGTCGACGGTAAGGGCGGGGATGAGCTCGAGGCTGATTAAGAGAGATGTGCCATCGGGGGGCGGGCTCGAAGGGGCCAGGGGCCGCTCTGGGATGGCCCAGGGGCACCATGTTCGGAAGACCAATGGCAGCGGCCCCCGTGGAAGTGCATGCGCGCCCTCCCAATCCACTGCTCCCCCGCTGCAGCACCCCTTGGGACAATCATCCTGGCGAAGCACCCAACCATGTGCAAGTGTAAGCAGAGATCGTTCCCTATGGGGTCATGTAACGTGTGAGGGGTGGCGACAAGCTGCACGTGGACGAGCGCACTGGAGCCGTAAGGGGAGCCCCCCATTGAGCCACGAAACGTTTGAGGGGTGTGCCGTAATAAGCGGGGAGCCACATGATGACACACCCAATGGGGCCTTAGCGGAGCTCCTTATGGAGCCATGAAACGTGTGACACGCGGATGGCAAAGGCAGGGATAGGAGGAGGGAGAAGGGGGAGGAGTGAGGGAACGAGGACGCGGGGCGCTGCGAATTCAAAACGAGGACCCAACAACACAGGATGGTTGGGAAAAAACATCCTCGATCCTCTGGAGGGCGAGCAGAAAAATGCTCAAAAACCCTCCGCCCCCCACGCACGACGGCCTCGTAGAGGCAGCACCACGCCTGCCTGCCAACGGACCTGGGGAAGCCAAAAGGTACTGATATCGCTACTCCCCGGACCTCTCCTGGAGGGCATTCTGACCAGGATTTCGAGACGATTCCAGCCGTGGCGACGAGGGCCTGCCAGGAGGCGCACAAGTGCGAAAGCGACGGTCATGGCAGCGGCATCAGTGCCTCTCTCCTCCGGGGACCACTCCTGCGCCGGGTCGGCGGGGCTCAGGTCGCAATCGAAGGGCGCGGCCTCCGCCGCCGCCGCCAGGGCGGCGGCCGCCAACAGCCGCTGCCGTGCCCCGCACCGCGCAGCCGGCGGCCCTCCGCCGCCGCCGCGCGGCGCCATCGGCGGGAGGGGCGAGCGACGCCCCTGGACGGGCAGGCCGCACGGGGTCGGGGAATGCCAGGGCTTTCTGTTGCATCCTCGGGGGGAATCTGTCTGTCCCATAGCGGCCTTTTCCGCGTCGAATGTGTGTCGAATCCATGTCGGAATCGTCGGATCCGTGTCGAATCCGTGTGGAATCCGCGTCGAATCCACACCAGATCTGCGTCGAGTCCGCATCGGGCACAAGAAAAGACACCGATTTGGGGGACAGGCGAGGCTGGGGCGGTGGCACTGCCTCGGGAAGGAGCAGGACTGGGGTCGGGGAGGGAGGGGAGGGGGGACGGCGAGGCAGGAAGAGGATGCAGAGGGGGAGAGGGGGGAAGGACGGGGAGGAGAAAGCGAGAGGAGAGCGAGGAAGGGAGGAGAGCAAACGAGAAGGGAGGGAGGAGGGAGGGAGGAGGGACGAGAGGAAGAGGAAGGAGGGGGGGAGGGAGGGAGGAGAAAGGAGGAAGGACCAGGAGAGGGGGCAGCGCGGCAGGAGGGCGGGCGGAGGAGGCTGGCAGAGGCGACCCCGCACGGCCTCACCTCCCAGAGGAGGCCTCGGCGGGCAGCGGCGGCCCCCAGGCTCCAGAGGCCGCCCGGCGCCAGCAGGGCGCGCGCGCGAGCGCCCCCCCACCCCCCTGGGTCCGACCCGCCGTTTGCACGATTGCAAAAAAGTGGTTGCTGGATGGATCTCCTCTTGATTGGATCGCTACGGACCGTACTTGTACTCCTTCGTCGATCCCTCACTATCGTCGATCCCGCGGTTCTTCACGAATGCTTGTATGTCCTTCTCATCGTTGTCCTAGCCCTTCTGCATTGCTCTCATCGCCCCATTTCTTTATGATCATGCTTCCCTATCGTATTCTTCCCTCCTGCTCCTCCTGCTCTTCCTGGACCTTGTCGGCATCGTTGTGGTTGTTTCTCTGTTTTCCATCATCCCATTATCCTCCTCATGCGTCCCTTCGGGTCGTTGTCGCGCCGCGCCGAGGTTTCGGCTTAAATCTGCTCGAACGGGAAACCCTGTCAAGGGTAAGCATAATTCAAACTGTAAGATTTCCACGGCGCTGCCACTGAAATCATCCACAATTAAAATCAATTCGAAAAGTCACACAATCAAATTCATTGTGTAAACCCACACAAGTAAAACCAATATGTAATCAATGTTCGAATTGATTTTGAGTGTAAGGGATTTCCAGAGGCAGCGCCGTGGGGCCGCGGAAGCTTACCAGGAAAACAAAGAAACATGAAAAACTGAGAAAGTTTGTTATTACAGGGACGAACAGGCAAAACTGAGGATAACCTGTAACTGACAATATTTTTATTGGCGCAACAAATAAGAACCCTTACAGTCACAGGTGCTCCTCCGCGTGTCCTGGTTTTTTCCTGTGAGAACACAAGTTGTTTCCTGCTGCTCCTGTTTTCTTCTCCTGTTTTCCTGATCAGCTTCCGCGGTCACAGAGCGCCGCAACTACGATGCCATACAACCAAAAACATATTCAAAAAAAGTCCCACGATCACATTCAAGTTGCAAATCCATACAAGTAAAATCCAAATGAGAATTGCGACAATCAAAGTCACTTTGAAAATCCCAACAAGTAAAATCAAAAAGGAACCAAATTACACATTGATTCTGAGTGTGAAGGATTTCCAGGGGTAGCGCCTTGGGGCCGCGGAAGCTTCCCAGGAAAACAAAAAAAAACGATAACTAGAAAAAGGCAGATGCTTTTGATGGAAACAAACAACAAACAGAAAACATAGGAAAATATGTAACCCCCAATGTCTTTTGCTGGTGCAACACCTTAAAAGACTGACAGACACAGGTTTTCTTCGATGTCTCTTGATTTTCCATGTGGTAACACAAGTTGTTTCATAATTGCCAGATTTTTCCTGTTTTCAGGGTAAGCTTCCACGGCCCCACGGCGCTGCCTCTGGAAAATCCCTCACAGTCAAATCATTGTGTATGCGGATTACAACTTATGTGTGGGGCTTTACATCGTGACCTTGCTTGTGGGAAATGTTACATTGATTTTACTTCTACGGATCTACAAGGGCTTTTCAATTGTTTGTGACGTGTAGGGAATCCTAGAGGCGGCGCCGCGGGACCGCGGAAGCTTACCAGAAAAAAACAAAGAAAGACAGGAAAATAATAAAAAAGCGTTAGCTTGCACATGGGCAAAAAAATAGTAAGGAAAACCTGAGACTGTCAGTGTTACGATTTGCTGCACCAATAAAATCACTGACATATGCATGAATCCCTCCGTTTTTGTTATGTTTGTCCTTGTGCAAACAAAGGCTGTTTCCTGTTGTTCCTGTTTGTTTCTCGTGTTCCGGGTAAGTTCCTGTTTGTTTCTCGTGTTCCGGGTAAGCTTCCGCGTCCCCACGGCGCTGCATCTGGAAATCCCTTACAATCAAAATTACTGTGTGACTGATTGCAAATTGACTTTATTTGAGGGTGGTTACAAATCAAATTTGAGTGTGGGGATGTTCAAATTGATTTGAATTGCGGGGGATCTCAGTGGCAGTGCCGTGGAAGTCTGACAATTGAAATATTGTTTGAGATTTGCTTCTGCAAGAGTCAACGTGTAAGCGTCTTTAGCTCAACATATGGTGTAAGCTACAAGTAGAAGCCGACAAAAACATCTGGTTGCAATCGCACAAAAGGCGGGTGCTACCCCCCCCCGCGGCGCTCGCGCGATGGCCGAAGGCCAAGGCCGCCGCCGCCAGCACCGCCGACGCCGCCGCCGCCGCCGCCGACGACGACGACGACGACAACGGCGGCGCCGGCGGCGGTCACGACTACAGCGGCGGCGACGGCGACAACGGCGCCGAGGACGAAGATGGGGACGACGAGGAGGACAGCGACGAGGATGACAGCTTGTCGAGGAGAACCAGCGCCCGCCAGCGACAGCGAGAAGAGGAGGACGCCGACGAGGAAGACGGAGACGATGAGGAGGGAGGCTGAGGCGGACGACGATGAGGAGGACATCTTGTGGAGGCGAACCAACGGCCACCAGCGACAGCGACAAGAGGAGAACGTCGACGACGACGACGACGACGAGGAGCAGGACGAGGACGAAGATGGGGATGATGACGACGACGACGACGACGACGACGACGACAACGACGACGACGACGAGAAGGAGGACGAGGACGAAGACGGAGACGACGAAGGGGAACAGCAGCGGAGAGGAAAGAAGAAGGGAGAAGGGGGAAATGGAGGGGGAGGGACGGAGGAGGACGACGAGGAGGAGGTGGAAGAGGATGAGGAGGAGGAAGAGGAGGAGGAGGAAGAGGAGGAGGATGAGGAGGGGGGGGAAGAGGATGAGTAGGCGGCGAGAGCGAGGAGAACCTCCCAGGCAGTCCGAAACCTCCCATGGGCGGAGGAGGAGGAGGAAGAGGGGGAGGAGGAGAGGATGGCAATGTCTGGAGACATACATTCCACTAGATCCCAGATCCCAGAAGGAGGACCAGAGTAAACTCAAGATTCATCAACGATGTTGGAATAAATCCTCCCTCCAAGCTCCCTCTTCACAGGCCCTTACAAAGATTCAACTCCACTGACAGACGTGCCCCGCTGGGAGACAACCATTTGAGGATCCTGAAGCGTGCCAAAGCACCGCTAAGGATGAGGACGAGGATGAGGAGGAGGAGGAGGAGTAGGAGGAGGAGGAGGGGATGGCAACGTCTGGAGACATACATTCCACTAGATCCAAATCCCGGGAGGAGGAAGAGGAGGAAGAGGAGGGGGAGGAATCCACCCCCCTCAGGTCCGGCCGGCCCTGAGGGGGGGGGAGACTGCATTCAGACGAAGTCTCGAGCCAGGAGGTGGCCGGTGCCAGGAGGAGGGGAGCCTCTCAGGGGACTCGGCGGCACACGCGCTCTCCAGCGGTTCCGCGCGGCGTCCACCAGGCTCCTCAGGCCAGCCAGGGCCCAGATGCTCTGCACGGCTCCCCAGAGGCCGCTGGGCTCGGGAGGGGGGGGGGGAGGACCCTGACCTCCGGGCGCCGCGAGAAAAAGCACGGCGGGCGCTATTCTTCTGGGGGGACCTCGATGTACGCACCAAGTCGTTTGATCGGCCAAGGGACTCGGTGTATAGACGTCCCACCTTGTCGAGCTGCGGGATGCTGGAGCATCTATAGACCGCAATCCCTCGCCGACTTCCTTGGCTCCTTGGCCGACCAGGCGACGTGGTGAACGCATCGAGCCCAGCCGATGCTCGCGATTTCGGCATCTCTGTGGGTCGCTTTCCAGCCCCCGGGACCCGAGAGGAAGTAACAAACGCGACTGTCTCGGAGATAGATTCGATATGACCAGCCTTGGGGCCCTCAGAAACTGGGATCCTTAAGATCGGCACCAAGATAATGTGATACTAATACTTGAGTTAAGAATGTGGTTCAGGCGGGGACGTCGAGACATCTGGGGGCCCGCGCCGTGAGAAAAACGCAGCCTCGAAGGTCTGGGGAGGAGGAGCGGGAGGGGCAGAGGGAGGAGGAGGCGCCAGGCCGATCCGGCGGAGGGCCAGCGCGAGGATGACCACCCGGTAGGAGACGCTCCCCTCGCAGGCGTCGTAGATCGGCTTGAGCTGCAGCCCAGGGTCGTCCACGTCGGCCCCTGTGCTGCTGAGCGCAGCGCAGACGCGAGCCCACTCCGCTTCGGTGGGCAGCGCCAGGCGGCCGAGGTCCAGCCTCTCCCCGCTCACCAGAGCCGCCGCGAGGTGCCCGACGACCGTGTTGGGCTGGAGGGGCCTGGGCCGGTGCGACAAGGCGATCGTCGCCACGTCCATGCCGCCGTTGAACATGTCGTAAGACCACCTCTGCTGACGAGAGAGCGGGGTGGCGAAGCGCCAGGGGCTCCGCATGCACTCCCCTGGCACACGCACTCGCGTCCTGCGGTGGCGGTCCTCGCACCGCCGCCGGTTCGGCCTCGAGAGCTGCCAGGATCTGATGACCTCTCGCAAGTCCTGCGAGAGTTCCGCCCGC